AGTGTATATTTACAGAGATACAATAGTTTTACTTATTAAATGAGGATTATCTTTAATCCTATTCAGAATGAAGTTGTGGAAGGGAATGTGTGTATGTGTGTACATACATTTGCTGAGAGCTGTACCCACTTGCAAAACAACCCTGTGCTATATATGCTCAGGGGATTTAGAAGCAAAAGTTATCAACATGTATTTAGGTTTAAAATCAACTAAGAACAGAAGATATGACAGTTGACTGAAGTAGTTATGCAGCTCTTTATAGCAGGAGTCAAGTGTCAAAAGGAGTCTCTGGGTGATACCAGCCTCAAACAGTGAGTGGAAGAATTAAAGGTAGCAGTCTATCAGTGGGATGAAAGGGAGGTTATCTAAAAAGGTAGCACATACCGGGAATAAGGGCATCGTGGCATTCTAGGTCAGAAGCCAGGTAACCCAGGGAGATCAGGAGGGTGAAGGAAAGGAATTCCAAGAGGAGAGAAGCTGGAATATCCAGCAAGTTGGTGATGTGGGCTTAGTGGGGCACATTGTGCAGCCCAGAGTGGGAAGCAGCTTGCCTGGGGCAGCTGCCTTTGTTCCCTCACCCTGTGAGAGCTACCTCTGTTCAAACCTTTGCTGGAGAAAGTGGCAGCATCAAGATACTGAGGGTATAAATCAAAGAATGGATTGGACATTTGGGTGGCAGAAAGGAACAAATAGTTACTCTGAAGGTATCATGTGAAGCACAGTCTGCACCTGCAGGATCTGCTAGGGAGGAAATGTAGCTAAGTCTAATGCAGAGAGTTTTCATCATATTCGAATCATAGGTTCTTTTTTTTGTTCCCAAAAGATTTATTTTTATTGAAAGGGCAGATACACAGAGAAGGGGATACAGGAAGGTCCTTCGTGCGCTGGTTCACTCTTCAAGTGGCTGCGATTGCTGGGGCTGAGCCGATCCGAAGCCAGGAACATCTTCTAGGCTTCCCATTTGGGTTCAGGGACCTAAGGCTTTGGGCTATCCGCTACTGCTTTTCCCAGGGAGCTGAATGGGAAGTGGAGTAGCTGGGATACAAGCCAGCACCCATATGGAATCCCGTTGCAAGGCAAGGATTTAGCCACTAGCCTGTTTTGAGAATCCTCTGAAAAATATGGATCTTTCCCAAAGGAAAAAGTGGAGAAACAGGCTTTTATTACAGTTCCAAACATTTCACATACACTCAAATCCATGTTTGGACTCTAGTTTTAGAACTGCTTGAGTGTATCATGCAATTGAGAAGTACTGATTCTGCCTTTTGATGATGCTTATCAAGAGATTCCAAGGAATGTCCACCTAACAAAACACCGCCTAATGATGCTGCTTCATTCTTCTGCAGCAGGAGCTGGGTGATGGTAGGGTGGCACAAGGAGAAAGGAAATGAGCAGTTAGTTTAGAATTCACACCCACTGACTGACTTCTTGTTGGATTCCTTTCCTAAGGAAGTTGATAGGATTTGAGTTGGCAAGGGTTTTATTTATTTTTTTTTTAAATCTCTTAAAGCTAAAACAAAATCTTGGCCTCTAGCACAGTGCTGCGCTCATCAGCTGTCTCCCATTTCCCCGGGCTAGGACTGCTACCCAAGAGATCGCTGCCTGGGATGTTCTGTCCTATCCGAGGAGGCTTCTTCATCCTTCAGCTCCATGATGAACTCCTGTATGAAGTGGCAGAAGATGATGTTGTTCAGGTATTTTTGTATGTTACGTCCATTTGACAAGTCGGGGCTGACAGCTTATTGTCCTGTGCCTGGGGCTTAGCCCCAGGATGGCTGTGTCAATGTCAAGTTTCAACTGGGAAAGAAGGCACTAAGAGTGCTGTCCATACACATTCTTTAAGAAGTTCCTGATGGAGAAACGGATGTTTCTGTTTGAGAGAAGCTAGGGATATGAATTTGGAGTGTTAACTGAAGTTTTCCAGGCTGTGAGCATGCCAGATGTAGGTGTCAGAAGCCACGGCTCTGGGAAGACAGCAATTTGAGCATCCTGACTTTGGTGTTTTCAGCATCACCTTCTCACTGGAACAATCTTTGGGTAGAGAATTTGTTAACCCGTTTATTTTATCCCATTTTATAGGTAGCTCAGATCGTCAAGAATGAAATGGAAAATGCCATAAAACTTTCTGTGAAACTCAAAGTGAAAGTGAAAATAGGTTCGAGCTGGGGAGACCTGAAGGACTTTGATGTGTGAGTGCGGATTCGCTCAGGTCCTCTCCCACGTTCCTACCCAAAAAGAACATTTCTGCTTCACCTGCATCTTGAAAACAAACGCTCAGGTCTGGATGCACTTCATAGAAATGTTACTGTGTTTCAGAATGTATATTAGGATCTGTTCTGTGTTGTGCCAAAAACTTTGTGGGAAACATACCATGTTTAATTATTCTCTTCAAGAATATGAATTTACCTTTTATAATTTATTGTGCCTTTAAACAGATCCAGAATGTGTGCTTGAAATCATGCACTTAGCACTTTGCATCCTCATCTAACTGGACCAAGCATGAAGAAAACTGCTCTCGGGCAGTTTCAGCGTTGTGTTCCGGCACTCATGTAGACCCCAACTGGAGCACAAGCTCATTTATACCACTGGTTAGATCCTGGATGTGATTTCTACCCCCCTCAAGTGCCAATTTAATTCTACTGTAGTAGGCAATTCCATTTTAAAATACTAATTATGAATTCTGTAAGACTGGGCATGGATGAAATCTAGGAATGTAATTTCATAAAATTTGTTATTCCGTTTCTCTCTCCAACTCATACAATATATGTATTTGGAATATTCAAGTATTATGCCTTTTCAAAAGGTGTCTTGTTTAAAACCAGATGGTTTTACGCTTACCAGATTTAAAAAACATCCCATCATGCCTCTTGTGTTTGTGGCTGGATGGGAATACTCTGGAAGAAAAGAGTATACTTTGTAAACTAAAACAGAGGTGCAGAAATGACCATTTTGTTGTTGAAATAAATTGTATTTGAGAAGCTTTACATCAAGTGTTTCAATATTGTACTCAGCCTAGCAATATCAAACTTAGGTTCTATATCGCATAACTCACTGTCAGAGCACATAGAAATGTTTACTAAAGTTTTATTAACTGATTATCATATTAGCGATTGGGTATTGGTGAATTTGAAAGTTGACAATTTTGGGGGGCAGAAGATAGTAAAGGTGCAGATTTATTTTTCCCATATACAATTTTTTAAAAAGGCTATAGCACTATCCATATTCTGCGCTCCAGAATAAGATAAATGCATGTGTGTTCTTAACTTCTACTTCATTTCCTGCAGCCTTGGCTTGCACTTGTAGTCACATGCATTTTGTTTCCACCCTTTGTGACTTATCATTCGGACTTAAAACAGGCAATCTTTTCTTACTTTGCATGATACAGTTATGCACAAATTCCAGCACTATGATGAAACTGTCTACATGAGTTCTCCAACACAATTCAAATTTCAGCTACCTCAAGGTATGACCATGAATGATTGTATAACAAAGAAAACCCAAAATTCATATGTAATTTACATATTTACATTGTTAGGCAGAATAACCACAGCCCTCTAGTCTCCGAGAGGTTCACACCATACTCCCTGCAACTATGAATTGTTGTTACATTACTTGGAAAGAGGGACTTTGTTGAAGTGATTATATCAGAGCTTGAGTGTGTTTATTGTTACATTGGAACCATCCACATAACCCAGGATAGAGTCCTTGTGAAAAGAAAGCAAAAAGTCAGAAGAGATATGTCAACCGAGTCAGAGAGAGGCCTGAAGTATTGCTGGCTTCAAACACTGAAGTCTGGGTCTTAAGGCACACAGCAACTCTTCAGCATTAAAATGAGAAGTCAAAGATAACTCAGTGGGAAAACTTGAGAATCAAATGGGAAAAAATGATCACAGGATTGCTCAAAAGCATACAGAAACAAATTATTGAGATAAAGAAAAACATGCATGATATGGTGAAAGAATCTACAAAGAGAGTCTGAAGAACAATCAAATACCAGAAATAAAGAGTTCAGTATGTCAAGTAGAAAATACAGTGCAAAGTCTCAACAAGAGACTGAGGCAGAAAAAAAATATTTGAGCTAGAAGGCACCTGCTTGAAAACAGACCCCAAAAAAGAAAAAATTAGAAAAAAACTGTTTGAAATTTGTGAGATACTATAAAGCAACCAAATAAGTTTAAGAATACCCAAAAACGGGCCCAGCGCAGTGGCCTAGCAGCTACAGTCCTTGCCTTGATTGTGCCAGGATCCCATATGGTCGCAGGTTCCAATCCCGGCAGCCCCGCTTCCCATCCAGTTCCCTGCTTGTATTCTGGGAAAGCAGAAAGGGTTGGCCCAAAGCCTTGGGACCCTGCACCCGCGTGGGAGACCCAGAAGAAGCTCCTGGCTTTGGACCAGTGCAGCACCGGCTGTAGCAGTCACCTGGGGAGTGAATCATTGGATGGAAGATCTTTCTCTCTGTCTCTCCTCCTCTCTGTGTATCTCCTCTGTATATCTGACTTTGCAATAAAAATAAATAAATCTTTAAAAAAAATACAAACATGGAAATAGTAAATGGATAAGAAGGTCTATCCAGTGAAGAAACAGGAAGAAGAAAGGGAGATCCGAATAAGGGAAGCACAAAAACACCTCTAACAAGTAGTCAGGTAAGCTCTTCACCACGACACATTACAGTGAAACTGAAATTCTACACGTGCATGAGAGAAACACCCGTTGAGCATTCTAGCTGATTTCTCATCAGAAACCCTAAAGGCTAGGGAGCAAACAAAACCCCCCAGCCCCCAAAAAGGAGGGAGGAGACAGTACGTCAGAGATGAAAGAGGAGATATTACTACAAATATCACTGAGATATTCATCAGAAATTACAACACCTGTAACAAAGTGGAAAACCTAAAAGAAATAGATCTCAAGACATATACAGTCTACTTAAACGGAGTCAGGAAGCCACAGGAAAGCTAAGTAGTCCAATAGCCAAGAAGGAATGAAATCAGTGATTAAGAGTCTCAGAGAAAATAAAACTCTAGGACTGAGTGACCTCACCGCAGAATTCTGCCATACTTTTAAAGAAGAACTAATTCCAATTTTTCAACTATTCAAAACAAATGAAAGGAAGGAAATCCTCTCAAACTCATCCCATGAAGCCAGTATCACATAATTCAAAAACAAGGGAGCTATAGACCAATATCCCAGATGAACAAAGTGCAAGTAGATTCAACAAAATATTAGCTAACTGATCCCAGCCACCCATCAGAAAGATCATTTCACTAGGACCAAGTGGGACCTGTTAGGCACGAATGGTTCAATACAATAAATCTATAAATGTGATATATCACATTAACAAACTTAAGGATTAAAAAGCTTGTGATTATATCAGCAGAAGCTGAGAAAGCATTCGATAAAGTGCATCCTTTCATAATAAAAACCTCAAGCAAGTTGAGTATAGAAGGACATTCTTCAACACAAACACTATATGAAAATGCCACTTACCAGCACCATCTTGAATGGGGAAAAGTTGGAGTCATTTCATCTAAGATCTGGAACCAGACAGACAGGGATAATCACTTTCGCCGCTGCTTTTAGGTATAGTTGGAAGTTATAGCTAGAGCCATTAGGCAAGAAAAATCAAAGGAATCCAAGTTGGAAATGAGGAAGTCAAGTCATTGCTTGGATAAGCTTTATATATGGGAGGCTCAAAAGTCTCCACTAAGAGACTTGGAATTCTTAAGAGTTTGGTACAGTTGCAGATTGTGAAATCAACACTTAGGAATTAATAACACTTATAATACATGGATAATGCCATGGTTAAGAAAGTACTTGTAAGAGCAGCGCCTTTCATAATAGCTATAGTTAAAAAAAAAACTACTTTGGAATTAATGTAACTAAGATTTGAAGGATCTCTAAAATGAAAATCACAAAAGAAAAAGACAAACAAATCTTTCATGTTTGTGGATTGCAAGAATATCAAAATGTCCATATTAATAAAGGTAATTTACAGGTTCAAAATACCAATATTCTCCTCAAAGAGAAAATGCCAAAACTTAATATGGAAACATAAATGACCTTGGATAGCTAAGACAATCCTAAACAACAAAAATAAAGCTGGATGTATCACAATACCAGCCTTCACGTCATACTGCAGGGCAGTGAAAATGGAAAAGCCTGGCACTGGCATAAAAATAGATGTGTAGACCAGTGAAATGAATGGAAATCCAAGAAATTAATCCACACAATTACAATCAACTAGTCTTTGATAAATAAGGTAAACCCAGTTTTTTAGAGAAAGGACAGTATCTTTAAAATAAGCTGTTGGGAAAATTGGATCTACATGTGTAGCAATATAAACTAGACCTTTTATACCATAAACAAACAAACATGCACTCAAAATGGATCAGTTATCTAAATTTATGACCCGATGCCATCAAGTTGCTAGAAGAGAACATTGGGAAAACTGTTAAGACATTGGCAAAATTAAAGACTTGGAAAAGACAACAAAAGCTTAACCAACAAAGACAAAACTTGACATTGAACTGCATCAAACTAAGCAGCTTCTGCAGTACAAAGAAACCTTCAATGAAGTGTTTAGGTAACTGACAGAATGGAAAAAAAAAATATTTGCAAACCATGGAATTGGTAAATGATTAATATCCAGGATCTATAAAGAGCTCAAGAATCTCAGCAACAAAACAATCTAGTTAAATTGGCAAAAGACATGAACAGGTGTTAATCGGAGGATGGGCTACACGTGATCAACAAATGACGATGCTCAGCATCACTAGCCATCAGGGAACTGGCGACCTGGTCTTACTGTGCATGTTTGCAGGAATATTTCAGTGGCACTGCTCCTGACATTGACTAAATGTAATAACTTTGATCACTTAAATAATTCTGCATTTTCTATTTGACATAGACATATATATGACATTTTGTGTTTATGATTCACAAGTATATTTTGTGAGAATAATTTGAGAGTATGTAAATGTCATTTTTCCATCACACTTGACCTTACTAGTTTTAGGATCCATTGATATTCAGTGCACAAATCATTACTGCAATGGTTGGAAACTGGTGGGTTGTAAGCTTCATGTACATTTACTGGTTGGTGCTCTGTCAGGAAGAGCTTTCTCCTTTCCATGCATCAATGTGGACTCTTCAGCACCTGTTTTATTCAGTCACTGTCATTATCTTTGATGCTCAGATTATCCCTGCTGTAGCCATATTTGGGCAGGTCCTTTCGGGCCGTCTTCTGTGACCTTCAACAAAAAATCATTCTCTAAAAACCTTTTCTTGGACAAAAATGTTCAGTCTGGAAATCAGCTACTGCTCCCTGGAGTTGTATTTCCTCTCAGCAGAAAACAATACTTAGCAATCAGAATCTAAGCACAAAGTGTGTACCCATTGCTCCTGGAGGGCGGCTCCATGCACTCGGTGTACAGTAAGGACATACATTTGTGCAACACAACCTCTCTCCACATCACATATACCTGTATGAAAAACTCAGTTACATCTGAGTCTGGGCATCTGTAAATAGACAAACACACATAGGATACTTCAAAAAGTTTGTGAAGAAATCAAAGTCAGGTATTTTCCATGATTCAAAATAGCCCTTGCCTCCCACAACTTGTATGTGATGTAGAATATCTCAGAAAGTTCATGGAAGGTGAGGGTTAGAAGAAATCAGATTTGGTACAACAATTTTAGAAATCCATGCATGATAATACAGATGGGTTTTAATTCCAATCCCCGCCTTCCAGGACCTCCCCCCCACTGTCATTATCTTTTTGAGATAGCCAATGAGCAAGCAGAGAGAAACCTCGTAATCCACCGATACCAGCTCCTGGCCTGCAGGTTAATGGCAGGAGCTAGGAATGAATCCAGATCTCCCAGGAGGGTGGCCAGGACCTGCTGCCATCCCTCATATGCATTAGTAAGCAGCTAGAATTGGGAGCTGCAGCCAGAACTCTAACCCAGCCATTCTGATATGAAACTGGGGTCTCTCCACAGTGAAGCTAAGTCTGCCCAGTTTTCTCATAATGTGCATTCCCTCTAACTTTATGAAACTTGTATGTGCAAGAGTTTCAAAGTCTTTTTGTGCCACAATGAACTTAAAAATCTATTTTCTGAACTTTTTGAAGCATCCTGTTTTATGTGCGTGTGTAACATACTTTGATAGTTCCAACTCTAATCAATACTTCAGGGTTTATTCTAACTTTCCCTCTTAAAATGTTTTATTTTTAATTGACAATAATTATATATATTTATGGTATACAATGGGAAGTTTTGATACATGTATACACTGTAGAATGATCAAATCAGTGTAATTAGCATATACATTACCTCAAATATTTATCAGTGCTTTGTGGTGAGAACACTGGAAATCCATCTCTTTTAGCTATACTGTAACATACAATACATTGTTACTAAACTCAGCCACTTTGCTGTGCAATAGTACAGTCCAAATGTA